TATTATTATTATTATTATTATTATTATTATTATCATTATTATTCCACCGAGCCAACCTGTTTTGTCCTTCAGCCACTTCCTTTGAGCTATTCCCTTTGTACGGTGTAGTGTGTAGTGACCAGCCGGGTCGTTACATATTGTGTCACTCTTATTTTCAATAACTTTTTATTAAGGTTAAATTACACTTTTAATTTCTCTATTTTTGTTGATCCGTAAATTTTGTGTCTTTGTTTTAAAATTAAGACATTTAGTTCCCTTATTTAAAAAAATATGAAATTTTAGTTTTATTATCAATTTGATATATATTGATCGTTAGATTTTGATGTTATTTGGTGAAGTGATGTAATATTTAGTAATGTGACATATAAAGGTAAAATTATAAAATAACATACAAAGATCCCTATACTTTTATTGATCCATGTGGTCCCTTTATTTTAAAATTGAAACATTTAGTTTCCCTATTTAAAAAAAAAATAGAATTTTGGTTCTACTACCAATTTGATATTCATGGATCATTAAATTTTGATGTTGTCTGATGATCTGTAGCCACTTAAGTGACATAATATTTAGTAACATGACATAGAAATACAATTAAAAATAACATTCAAAAATCTTTGTTAGTATTTATTTTTACGGGTGATTAATATTTATTTTATTAATAAAAATATTATTTACAAATTTTTTAAAATATTTTTTATGTTAAATATTATGTTATTAAACGTCATATCACTTAAGTATAGATAAACATTAAAATATAATCATTAATAGATATCAATGTGACAAGAAGATCAAAATTTTGTATTTTTAAAATTAGAAAGATTAAATATATTTATTTTAAAATAGAGGGACTAAAATTACAAATTAATAAGAATAAAAGGTTCAAAAGTATAATTTAGCCTTTTATTAATCTATGGAAGATATTTAAAATATTATTTATAAAATGATAAATATTATAAACATAATAATTTCTTATTTACAACTTAGCTGTGAAATAATTAAATACATTTCATTTCACATTTTAAAATTATAAAATATTTAAATTTAAGATAAGTTAAATTCTTTTTAAATTTTAAAATAAATTTTTTATATTGTTAAAAATAGTATAGTTTATAAATATTTAAGTAAAATAAGAAATATATAAGACTATATTCAACTTAAACATTTCTATTCTTCTATATTTTAAAAAATTCAAATAATTAATTATATTATCTCAATATAAAAAATAATTTTATAAATAAATATATTTTCAACATACATAAATAATAATTAAAAAAAAGAGTGACTCGTGTAAATCACTAGTACAGAATATACATTTTACGTCTATTATTTTAGGAATTTTACGTCATAAAAACCTCCGATGTCGATGCGGGAGACGTAAATTTACGTTGATTGTGATGGTCGACGTAAATTTACGTCGAACATGGCAAGAACCGACGTAAAATTATTGTGATGGCACAAATTTAATGCATCTGGAACGGGTCATTTTGCAAGTAGAACGGCCCGTTCTGCTTGCAGTCATTGTGTGTTAATTATTCATCTGGAACGGCCCGTTCTGCTTGCAATCATTGTGTGTTAATTATCCATCTGGAACGGCCTGTTCTGGTTGCAGAACGGCCTGTTCCAGATGCAAAATCAACAAATTAGCAGAAAAAACGAGAGGGTGCAGATGGAAACTAGTAGTGAAGATGGAAAGTAAACAAAAGGAGGTTCACTTCACTTCTGCCTTGAGCTTCTTCTTCTCTGGCCACCGCTCTTAATCTCTGAAAATGATAACAGCCTTGGGCCTCTACCACGTGCTGACCGCCGTGGTACCTCTGTACGTGGCCATGATCTTGGCCTATGACTCCGTGAAGTGGTGGAAGATCTTAACGCCATCTCCCTGCTCTTGTTCCACTTCATCGTGACGAACAACCCCCATGCCATGAAGTACAAGTTCATAGCGGTGGATTCACTGTGAAAATCCATCGTCCTGGGCATGCTCTGCCTCTGGTCGAGGACCAGCTCGAGAAGGTCACACTCTTCTCCCTCTCCACTTGCTCAAGGGCATGTATGGTGATGCCTCGGGGACCCTCATGGTTCAGATAGTGGTGTATATAGAAACCACTTTTACGTCGGATATAATAGAGGTCCGATATAAAAAAGTTTACAAAAATTACAAAAATGTCACCGCGTTTTTTTTACGTTGATTTTTGTTATGATCGATGAGAAAACAATGACGTAAAAGACTGATTTTCTATTAGTGAACAGATATCGTTTTAGTATGTTTTAGTATAATAATAAAGTGAAAGTTTAGAAATGTCAAAACACCTGGGAAACACCTGGGAAGAGCAGTGCCTCACATCAAAGAAAAATAAAATTAATAAGATAGAATTTGATTATATTCATCAAGAGTTTTTGGTGTTACCTATTGTACAGGAGTAACCTTCAATTGGGCATACCTTGTGCATAATTTAAGCCTTGTTCTTTAATTAATGATTTTTTTATTATTAAAAAATTACAATCAAGAGTAGTAGTCATATAAAATCAATTAAAGGGATAAAAAATATACATGACAATTTTTTAAAATAGCTACTAATTTATCAGTATATTACTAAATAAAAAATTGTCTGCATAAAAAAGGAATCTAAAATAGCCAACTTTCTTCTTCAAGAGTGAATTAACAAAAATAAGTAATATTTTTAGTAGCGATTTGTAACGTGTGAAATCTTCTTATAATTAAACACAATTAATCAAAATTGAAAATAATATTAAAATAAATTTCTTCTTGACGTTATATATGTGAATCCCGCTAACTAATAATATTCTTTAGAACATTAATCATATTCTATTATAAATGTTTAAATTATTTAAAAAAATATATATATTTCTAACTGAACAATTGTTTTTCTCTCAAGATTATTTCATTTTTCCATATTTTAAAGAAAATATTAAATAAAAATGAATATATTAAATACCTAACAAAATTTATAACTATTTAATACCTTCTTATTATATATTCACTAAGCAGAAAATTAATAAAAAGCATTATAAGAAGATTTTGAATTACTCTTCCAACTTGGTGCAGCAATGAGCAAATTCATGGGAGATAAGAAGTGTAGAATTTGTTTTATGAAATGCATGCAGTGTCTAGTTTGAAATTTCAGTAGCTATTTACGAACTAGTTCTAGACACACCTGAAATGATAAATAGATGAAATGTCTTCTGTCACTAAAGGACAACGACATATGACTACGAATCCTGATTAAATTCCTATTGTGAGTATAGTTTTAGCCAGACTTCCTAGCCCACTTACAGTTATACACCATTTCAGCAATCAGCATATATGGTTGGTACCAGTCTTTAACGTGAGCAATTGAATTGTCCTCATAGATAATTTAAAAAAAGATAGCAAAGTTCTTTGCATGGACCAAAGTATCTCGAATTACCAATAGAGTAGAACCACAGAGCCAAACATATATGACCCAAACCAACCCCACATACATTAATCACCCAATCCAAGTAATTAATTAATCTCCCTCTCTCCTATAGCATCATTAATCATACCCCCCAATAATAATTCTCCTACTTTGCCACATTCCCAAACAAAGGTAGAGAAGTTAACAAAAATGAAACCAATAATATCAGCATATGCCGAGTAAATTAAACCCCCACCTCTTGTAGCTAATCACAATACATGAGAAAGTAGAAAAGAAAAAGAGGACATGTCATTGCATCATCGTATATACATTAATGAAAGACCACTTACTCAACTATGGAACTTGCACCAAAGGGATCGATCTCCACAGGAAACAAACAAACACTGTGTTGGCACGATGAGAGAAGAGGATCCGAGGTTCCTCTCAGCGCAATGTAACCAAATTCTCAACCTTGACTCATAAAACTAACAGGCTGAAGTGTAATATTCTTGCAGCTGACATGATCGCTCCGATCCCAAACTCCTCTCATCTATCTCAAGTATCTTTTTTTCTTTTCAATGTAAGTAAACCCAACCCACTTTGACCCTAAAAGGAAAAGTAGCAGTAATAAAGAAAGTTAAAACCTAAAGGACCAAAAGATGACCTTAACTAAACAAGGGAGAGAGATTCATATATAGCTTTGAAAACGATGCTTCATCTTTCTAGATCAGAGAAGTGACTGAAGGACCAATGTTGGGTTGATCACTCCAAGCACCCAAACCCGTTGCAGCGTTCCAATAAAGCGAATTAGGATCAGACAAGCCCACATGCTCCATCTGGTTTTGACAACCACCCCCACCATTATTATTATTACTATTATTATTATTATTATTATTATTATTATTATCATTATTATTCCACCGAGCCAACCTGTTTTGTCCTTCAGCCACTTCCTTTGAGCTATTCCCTTCCATTTGCAACCCTTCTAGCTGCGCCAAGCCCTGGAAACTGTTGCCACCTTGATCACCCTTCACCCCACCACCCATAAATTTCTCCTGCAGGAGAGTTGAGCTCAGCAAGGAAGCCATAACAGGAGTTGAGGGTGCACAAGTTGAAGAAGAACCACCAAATATGGAACTATAAGCAGAAAGAAACGAGTTATTGTTATTATTTGAATTTGAAGTACTAAACCCACTTCGGTAACCGTTATCACTAGCTTCACTTGACATAACCCCAGATGAAAAACCTAGCCCAAGGGCATTCATCTGAGACTGAAGATTAAACCTTGGGAAAGGAACATTCATGTTACCGTTACTAGTTAACCCATAAAACAAAGGGTTTATATTGATATGGTTTGAGGTGGAACTAGAAGCAATACTATCGATGTGGGCCTGGGAAGGAGGGTTTGAATTGGCGCTGGGAGTGGAAGATGATGGAGGAGAATTAGCAGTAGCAGAAGCGTCACCGTTTGGACGCTTGACACGCTTGTTTTTTCTGCAACCGCCGCCAACGGGAACGTTTCTGAGAGTTCCACCTCTTGTCCAGTATCGCTTGCAGGCTTTGCAGAAGTGCCTAGGCTGTGACAAACTGTAGTTGTTGTAGTAGCAGAACTTGGTGTTTGAAGAGTCGCAGCGAGGGCACTTGAGGGCTTGTTGTTGCTGCTGAAGAAGATCTTGGCTTGGCTTTTCCATCACTCTTCCCATAGAGGCTTTGTGATCATCTATCTGAGCCTACAAAAAGAAGATAATTGAGAGAAAAAGAAAAGAAGAAGAAGAAGAAAGAGAAAGTGTTTTAAGTTGGCGTTCTAGGGTAAAATAACAACACAGTGGAGATATTCTCTTCCAAAAGGAAAGCAACAAAATTGGGGTGGACATGTATTTGTCTAATAATTAAGAGAGAGACGTGAACCTGTGTCCATTTGTTAGACGCTGTTGGAGGGTTCATGACTACCGTTTTCTCACACTTACCCAACATTTTCTTCTCTAAAATGAACTCAAAGAGAGTGTGGCGCCTTGAGTTACGCTTCAAAATTGAAATGGTTGTGTTAATCGTGGCTATGTGGCTGAGAGACAAGGTTAATTATCTGTCATTATATGGTGAACGTGGTTAATTGTTAATTAATTAATACCTAAGCTAAGAATAATATATGTAAAAACTCAGTTGTGTAGTTTCACGTGATGGGTTGGTCTAAAATCCAATTTAGGTGATTAATATATTAATGGAAAGGAATATAAAAAGAACATTCGAAATCCAAGAACAGGACATATAGGTAGAGTGGAATTGGGGATGGATCTTGAGTGGTTCAAGAAAGAAAAAAGAATGACACACACATATGTATATATATATATATATTCCAATCTTACATTCCCTTGTTCAGAGAGAGTTTGAGGATCATATAGATAACCACATAGAGGGAATCCCTAAGAGCTAGCCCGATGCCCAAAGCATGTATTAGAGCAAATCTCACTTCAATTTTTTTGCTCCAATTGTTAATTAATTAGTAGTAATTCTAATTAATAATATAATTGAGTTTAATGTCAAAATCATTCTTTTTCTTCAAGTCTTGATCACTTGAGCAAAAATGTGAGAATTTGCATGAACTATTTCCGGATTATTAAGTAGATAAACCCGCAAGTACATTAGGGAATATAGATAAATGCTTTACTCTTTTTCGGTTGGATTTATATATTAAAAAAGTATATCATGGTAGAAAGCGAGGAAGCGAGAACAATAAAATTGTGTTAAGGGCTAAAAGCTCCAAATGAAAAGGACAAAAAGGCACCATGTGGTATTTACGTTTCAAGACCCGAAATGAAGACCACGCTTCGCAATGAAGACCCTCTAGCTTGTTATTTCTTCTCTCGTTCATATTGACCCAAAGAGTCTTTTGTTCTTCTCTTTTTTTTTAATCAAAGACAATAAACCGTTAATAGTGTGAGCGTGTCAGAGAGAGAGGGCGGTGAGAGTCATGAGATGGAGGCATGGAACCTTAAATGTGCACAACCATGTGGTGTGCAGCTCAGCTTCGAAGGGAAAAAGAATAAAAGAAAGATAAAGCAAAACACAGATATGGGTGAATAAACAGATTTTGTAGTTCTCCAAGGGATCTTCTCATCCTCCCTACTACTCATCATTATTCTTTACCTGTTAAATTCTCCGTTAAACCTTGATAACTGGTCGCCAAAATATTTTATTTTAGTTAATACATATGTTTGTACATCCATTTTATGGATTCGTCATAAAATACAAACTATACAATTAAAAGATAATGAGTCCATACATTGTATATTATATATGTATTTGTACATCAAAGTTAAGATATGATTCTTTTATTTATTTATTTGTTATTATAATGCGATTCTTATATGTTCAAAGTACAAAAAAAAAAATTATTTATGTAGTATTTTGGTAAAGTGGATTTGTAAAGTGTAATATCGAATATGACCAAGACTATTTTATTTTCAATACTTAATTGAGATAATAACTCCATCAATTAACAATAAAATATATCATAAATTGTTAATTATATAATTATTGTCATAAACGATATAATATAGTTCTATAAAAACAGAGATATAAGACTGTTTAGTAATTTGGAAGAAAGACATGCATAAAACTAGAATGATAAAAAGGAAGTGGGTTTAATTCGATTAATATACCATACGTATTAATTACTAACATTTACTTACAAAAAAAAACAGAAAACAAGATGCAGAATATATATATATATATATATATATATATAGCATTTGTAAATAATAATATTAACTACCACTATCATCACTAATTGAGATCAATCACTATGGCCTATGGGTCATGATTTAAGCAATACTATTTTCACGTGAGTGAAGAATAATTTAACCCACCTAATCAGCGGTTACCATACACAGAGAATGAGAGACATTTTGGTGTTAGATTCTCAATTTATTACTAAAAAATTTAGGGTTGAAAAACATTAGTTAACAATCGGCGTCAATGTAGAAAGTGAGTGGGACCGCGTGTTGATTTTAAGAGCAATGTTATATACTTTTTTATACAATATTTTTAAATGATTTTCTTATTATTTTATAAAACTATTATATATATAT